TTGAATTATGCAATAATTTCACATAAAATCCTCATAGCTGCATCCCACCTACAGGTAAGAACAAGGATCTCTCATCACAGAGTGGTCTCCAAAGTGCAGGATAAACAGAGAAAGTGTGATGACATGACAGTGATTTAAGACAAAACCTACTGGAGGAGGCTTATTTAGAGGTTAGAAATGAGGGAAGGGGAGATTTTTTTCAAAATGTCGTAGCTGTTTGGCTCAAACAAACAACCTTTTTTCAAAAGCAGCCATTGGTTTCGGGCACTTTTTCTTTTGGGCACCCAAAAATTATAACAGGACTCAGAATGAGTAGCCACTTTTGAAAATGTGGCTGCAGAGTCAAAGCTGTCATTACAGAGATGCAAGAGGGCTGTTTTTCAAGGTACCACTCCCTCCCCCCTCCAGGGATCTTAGCTAACTTGTACAGTGAAAGGAAAATTGGAGCTGGGGAAGACAAAGGAATCCATACCCACCCTACAAATCCAAAAGGCAATAACATCGGGGGTACATCCATCCCCTGGATTCTATTATTTTAATACTTCAGCAAGCATAAATATTCTGCCTGTTCATCAGTGCTGCTTTCATCTCTCACCAAGTGCTCACCAGCTCAGGACTAATCCTCGGGTGTCTTAGAGTGTAGGGAGCAGACATAAGAGAATGCTGTGATTAAGATAGGCCAGTCCCTGAGATTGGGGATAATTACAGTTATCATCAAAGATGGCACCAGGGATCAGACTCCCATATACTGAAAGTGTGCACAAAAATATAATAGGTTTGTAAATTGTTGCTTTTATCCAGAAAAGCTGGCAAGGACATAGTAGCAAGAAATGGGTGGGATCGGAGTGGGTGGGGGAAAGAGAGATAAAGGGGAGGCAGAGGTTGTGGGAGGGTATGTCTACACTACCACCCTAGTTCGAACTAGGGGGATTAATGTAGGCAACCGAAGTTGCAAATGAAGCCCAGGATTTAAATATCCCGGGCTTCATTTGCAACTTCGGTTGCCTACATTAATCCCCC